ATGATAAAAAATATGTCCGGAGTTTACGAGTTCTTAGATGCTACCAAGATTCATAATCTGAAGTGGTTCATTCCGTGTCCTGTTTTGCTTTATGGTAAACGGGAGTATATTATGTCTACAAATCACCTAGATATTGGGAGATTTTATATGGTATTTGGGTTTTGGTCAGTTTTGGCTGGAACAAGATTTAGGTCTTTAATTCGATGAAGACTGTTTAATCCGGGAGCTAAATTTTTAGACCCTGTTTGTTATAACGCTGTAGTAACTATGCATGCTCTGGTAATAATCTTTTTCTTTGTAATGCCTGTCATAATTGGGGGTTTTGGTAACTGATTGGTTCCTTTAATGTTAGAGGTTCCTGATATACAATTTCCTCGTGTCAATGCTTTTAGATTTTGGGTTTTACCCGCATCTCTTTACTTTATAGGAATCTCTGGGTTCGTGGAAAATGGAGTTGGTGCTGGTTGAACTATTTACCCTCCGTTGTCTACTTTTTCCTATCATGGCATGTGTATGGATCTGGCTATTTTAAGGCTTCATTTGGCAGGTATTAGGTCTATTTTTAGATCAATTAACTTTATAGTGACTATTAAAAATATGCGTTCCGTGGATGGTCATTTGTTAAGGTTATTTCCATGGTCAATTAAAGTAACATCTTTTTTATTGCTTACAACTTTGCCTGTATTGGCGGGGGGTCTTACTATGCTTCTGACAGACCGACATTTTAATACTTCTTTTTTTGACCCTGTGGGTGGAGGAGACCCGGTTTTATTTCAGCATTTATTCTGATTTTTCGGGCACCCTGAAGTTTATGTCCTAATTCTTCCCGGTTTTGGAATAATTTCTCATGTTTTGTGTTTTTGATCTAGAAAGAAAACAGCTTATGGTAATATGGGAATGTTTTATGCAATACTAAATATCGGGTTTTTAGGGTTCATTGTGTGAGGGCATCATATGTTTGTTGCTGGTATAGATATTGATACGCGAGCTTACTTTAGGGCGGCGACTGTTATTATTGCTGTCCCTACCGGTATTAAAGTGTTTGCTTGAATTGCTACAATAATAGGATCGCAAGTGTCCACACATGCTCCTATGCTTTGATCTACTGGTTTTATTATCTTATTCACAATTGGTGGGTTAACTGGGCTTATTTTGTCTAGTGCTTCGATTGATGTGACTCTTCATGACACTTATTTTGTAACTGGGCATTTTCATTATGTTTTATCAATAGGGGCAGTTTTTACAATTTTAGCTGGATTTACTCATTGATTCCCGCTGTTTTCTCGCGTCATGCTTCATCGTCAAAAAATAAAGAGGCACTTTATTGCTATATTCTTGGGTGTTAATATTGCTTTTTTACCACATCATTTCTTAGGGTTAGCCGGAATGCCTCGCCGAGTAGCTGATTATCCTGATCAATTTTGATTCTGGAATAAAGTGTCTACTTTTGGGTCACACCTAAGAACAGCTTCTTTACTTTTTTTTGTATTCCTAGTGTGGGAAGCCTTTATTGCTCATCGACCTGTAGTCTCAGTTCGAAATAGGTCAAGCTCTCCTGAGTGATCAGTGATAGTAAACCTTCCGAAGCATGCTGCTCTAGAGTCAGCTAAGATGTTAAAAGATCCAGCAAAGAAGTACTTAGGAACACGTTTGTAGTAAGTTGATTAGTACTAAGGTTTAAGCTGTTCTGCTTGAGGTTTAAAACCTTAAAAATTTTTTAATTTATATATTTTTAGGTTATTAAAAAAATTTTTTTGCGTTCTATTAAGTAATAAAATATGGGTTTTTAAAACTATTGAAGAGCGGGCTAAGAAAATCTGTATTTTTAAGTTACTGCTACTTTTTCTAAAATCAGTTTTAGTATAAAATATTACAGGGGCCTTGTAAGTCCCAAATTTGCCGAAGCAAAGACTGATGCGAATTTGCTATAAAAAGTTTCGCAAGCTAAAATATTTGGTTCTGGTATACTGTTAATCATGAGTTCTTTGATATACACAATGTAGGAAATTTTCGTAATGTGCTAATTTAACAGAAGAGATGAACTAATATCTGCTCCTAAAAGGCGTGTGTGTGGTAGTATAAGCATAAGTGTTGAATGATGACGCGAAAAGAATCACAACTCAAGTGGACAGCCCTGGACTCAATGAGTTAACGCTTGAAACGAACAAGAAACTATATACAATAAGCTAAAATGGGTGCCAGCAGCTGCGGTCATACCCTTTGAAGGAGGATTAATAGAGGTACAGCCTAGAGGCGGTTAGTCAGTATAAAAATGCATATGACATACGTTAAGTCATAGAGGTCAAATTCTAAGTCTTGGAGGAGGTCCTTTACTTGCATAGAGATGATTCCGCGAAATTATGGAAATAAACCTGGATTTGATACCCAATTATTCCATAACGCCAAGAATAACGGCTATTAAAGTGTTAGCTGGTTGCTGGGGTACTACGAGCAGCTGCTTAAAACTCGAAGAACTTGGCGGTTCCATAAAGCCATCCAGAGGCTCTTGGCGCTTAATCCGATGATCCGCGTGATATCTTACCTACCCTATATGGCATCGTACTGCCGTCCAAAGTATATGATGTGAGTAGACATAAATAAGCGCCACCTTAGGCGGCACACATTAATCAATGTTCTGCTCTAAGTCAAAGTCAGGTCGAAGCGTTCCTTATGGGTAAGGGGTTTGCTGAGAGACAATTTTTTAGTTATATCAAGCCCTGTAGTTGAAATACTCAAGTTTTCTAAATTTGGTGAGGGGGATTTGGGAGTAAATAGAAAGTAATTCATTTTATTGAAGAGACGTTACTATGGTGCGTGCAAATCGCCCGTCACCCTAGCCGAAAGGAGAGGTAAGTCGTAACATGGTAAGGGTAGGGGAACCTGCTCTTGTAATAAGAACAGAAAAGAACTACAAATCTACTGAATTAGCACTTTTAGTATAATTAGTACATTTGTCTTCCAAACAAAAGGTTTCCTTTACGGAAAAAGTGTACAATGATTCAAAGTACAGGAATAAAAAAATTAGGGTTTTATCACCAACGAAAAATTCCTCGGACTCCTTTTCACGTTGTGGATCCGAGCCCTTGGCCGGTTTTGATAAGAATTGGGTTGTGAGGATTGGCTACAATTTTTATTTGTTGGGTAAATAAGGTGGATTACGGTCAACTGTTTTGGGGCGTGCTTATTATGGCAATAACGGTTTATGGGTGAACTCGAGATATCGTTAATGAGTCTACTTTTCAAGGTTTTCATACAAAAAAAGTTCAGATAGGAATTTCTTTGGGTTTTATTTTATTCTTAGTTTCTGAGCTTATGCTATTTTTTTCTTTTTTTTGGGCATTTTTTCACAGTTCTATGTCCCCTTCTGTTGAGATTGGATGTTGTTGACCTCCCGTAGGAATTGAATGTCTTGACTGAAGAAAAGCCCCTCTACACAACACAGCTTTATTGGTAGCTTCATCTTGCACTGTAACATCTAGGCATAAATATCTTAAAGATGGAAATTTTACGCATGCAGTTGCATTGCTGATTATAACAGTTTTTTTATCTGGTTTTTTTGTAAAAAACCAATATGATGAGTACTCTTGGGCTTCTTTTTCAATTGCTGACGGAGTATACGGCAGAGCTTTCTTTATATTAACCGGTCTTCACGGTATGCATGTAATTGGCGGAACGTGTGGCTTGTTGTATTCTTTAGTTCGGCTTTTATTACGTCAATTCTCTACTCGTCGACATTTGGGGTACGTTTTAGCTATTTGGTACTGACATTTTGTAGATATCGTATGACTTGCTTTGTTTTTTATTATCTATATCTGAGGCTCTTAAGTTTACCAGATTAAGTATTGTGCCAGAGTTAAATGGGCTTTGTTGATGTCGAAGAATATGTGGAATTCTCCTCCAATACTTGAACTAAGGTTTAGTGAAGACAAGCTTTCGGGCTAGTGTAAGTAGCACATAAAATTTTCACTTTTACAGAGGGGTTTTCCCGCCCGAATGTCTAAGCGAAGTTTGCAGAAGTAAAGCAAATGCTTGATTTTGTAGGTGAGTATTAGAAATAATTTTCTAAAAGACGCGTATTTTTCTGTTATAAAATACCCTTGCCCGTCAAACTTAAATATCTGGTGAAATATGGGCTCTATGTTGTTTGTTACCTTAGCAATCCAGATTCTAAGGGGTATTATATTAAGTATAAACTACACCGCAGACGGAAACTTAGCGACTGAGAGGATAAGGTACATTTTACGAGATGCTAATTATGGGTGAGCTTTGCGTAGAACACATATAGCCGGAGCCTCTTTATTTTTTGCTTTAATTTATATCCACGTAGGACGTGGCGTCTACTATGGGAGGTATATAAAACTTCCACATGTTTGATATAGGGGAGTTACTCTTTACCTTTTGTCTATGGGGGTGGGATTTTTAGGGTACGTATTACCGTGAGGCGTGATGTCATACTGGGGACTAACCGTCATTACTAACATGATGACAGTGTTTCCCGGAGGTGCCCGAGCCTTAGAATGATTTCAAGGAGGATTCACCATCTCAACTTTTACGCTTAAGCGAGTATTTGTGCTGCACTTTTTACTCCCATTTGTAATCCTAGGTATGAGGGTAGCCCATGTTTTGCTTCTCCATAATAACGGGTCTAGAAATCCTTTGGGATTGGACACTACAGAGTTGGTTGTACCTTTTCACCCTTACTACACCTCAAAAGATTTGGTAGGTTTCGTATTCATGTTAGCGGGTTTAGCTGCACTAGCATTTACTTTTCCCAAAATTACTGCTGATCCCCTCCAATGACAAACTATCAATAAAATAAAAACTCCTGCAGTCATTAAACCGGAGTGATATTTTCTATATGCATATGCTATTTTGCGTTCTGTTCCGCATAAAGCAGGAGGTCTTGCTCTTATGTTCGCAGCTATTTTAGGGATTGCGCTACTGCCAACTTTGGGAAAATACGCTAAGACTCAAAGAATAGTAATATCCCCTCTTGGTGAGGCGTTATTTTTTATTTGAGTGGCAAATTTTATATTTCTAGGAATTATTGGTTCACAGGAGCCTGCAGGAGCATGAATTTTAGCTGGACAAGTGGGGACATTTGTTCATCTTTTCTGCATGCTTTCTATTCCGGCAGCAAATGCGAAGTGGGAAAAAATATTGTTCAATGGTTATGGACGATGGATCCAAATTTAATACAAAAATGAGATATTGATGTCAAATATACTTCCAAAATAGAGTCACATTCGCCGGAATACGAATTCAATGGGTATTCGGCATGTACTGTGCAGTTTTAACTTTGATTTTTATTTTCGTTATGCTTAGGGTAGTCCTATGCTTGGTTTCTCCTCACCAATTTTTATATGTTCAGACAGATCATACACTAGAGCGAATTTGAGGGTTTGTCCCGCTTTTAATTTTAACTTTTCTGTCATGGCCTTCTATAGGTCTACTATACGCTATATCTGAGTTAGAAACTCCTCTTATTACTGTAAAATGCATTGGTCATCAGTGGTACTGAGAGTATGAATATTCGGACTTTGCAGTAATTACCTACAACTCTTATATAGTCCCTGAAAAAGAGTTAAGCTTAGGAGAACCGCGGTTGTTAACTGTAGATAAATCCATGGTGCTACCTTTTTCTGTTTGGTGTCGGGTATTAACTACTTCGTTTGATGTAATTCACTCATGGACAGTTCCGGCTTTTGGGGTCAAGTCCGATGCTGTTCCTGGCCGACTTAGAGAGTCTAGAGTTAAAGTAGAAATACCCGGGGTATTTTGAGGTCAGTGCTCTGAAATTTGTGGAGCTTTACATAGATTTATGCCAATTCGAGTAGAAGTTGTTAGGTGTCGTGTATTTGAGCAGTGAATGAGAGTGCTTGAGGACGTAATAGCGTAGTTTGCAAGATAGACTAAATTTAGATTGTCGGGCTCATGCCCCGAAGGTGCGGCTTAATTGCAGCTCTTGCAGATCAGAAAGTTCCTTGTTAATAGGCTGGTGTCTTGAAAATACCATGTTGGGAGGGAAGAGCTCTCAACTTTCTTAAAATGATAAGCTTAGCTTTTTTTACTAGAGTAACAGTAGTTTTGTTTATGGTCTGATCTTGGGCTATTTACAGAAGGGCCTCATTTAGAATGCCGGATATTGAATCCGATCTGACAACTTTATAGTGTTGATAAGTGGAAAAGTAGTCTAAAGAAGGACGTCGGTTTCATAATTCGAAAGTGGTAAATGACCCTTTTCTATAGTTTGAAAGGGGGATAAGTGGCCTTACACTGCGACTTCTAATCGCAATTGGCGCAATTCGATTTTGTGCTCCTTCTTAGCTATGTTGGCAGAGAAGTGCGTTAAATTTAAGCTTTAAAAAATGCGGAAATTGCCGCACATGGCTATGACTGAGGCTAGTTAAAATAATAATAAGTGCTTTGGGAGCACTAGTTCCTGTGTGGGCTTTAGATTACTGTAAAGAGTGTTTTCTAATAAAAAACTTTTAGTGGGCAAAGTATAGGAAAATTAGAAATGCCTAAATACTTATTATCAGGTCTGATAAGACACTAATAATTGAGAAAAAGCTTTAGTTTAGTTAGTACCTTTTGTATAATGGCCTCTCGAGGGGTTTTACCTTAGCGGTTTTTCCTGAATTAAAAGGATTTTTTAGGGGTTACAAGGTTAACGATGTAAGGTATCTTATAATCCCCTAAAAGATGTGATATGCAATATCGGATTTTAGTGTAGCCGGTTACGGAAAAAATGCTTTTAGGTGCAGCTTTAAAACTTATTTACACGTACACTAAAGTACGTAAGGTTAAGGTTTTAAGAGTGACTAGCTTGGCTAAAGGTCGTGCTTAATGGTCTTCTGAGTCTTACACGCCTTAAATAGAGAAATTGGATTTAAAATGTCCGTTTTGATAAGAGTATTTAACAACTTGTCTTTTAGGTGCGGGTATAATTTATTTATTAAGCAGAGGTATTATAACATTTCGTAATTTCTTAAAATTAGGGTAGGTAACATTTTATGCTAGGATCAGTAGTGTTTATAGTAACTTTAGCCCCATTCAGCATTTTAGGGGCTTAAAAGTACCGGAAAATAGTATAAGTTATTACCAGGTGCTTACAACACTTAAATAGAAAGGTTTTTCTTTTTCCGACCAAAATTTAACGAAACTCGACAACAAGCATTGGCAAGAAGTGATTATTTACATTCGGTTTCGGCCCGATTCTTGGCTAAAATTAGCCCTTGCTATATTAAATTTTATAGTGGGGCAGTTTGTGTGCCATGGTGTATGAGCACGAAAGTTTTTGGTACTTTAAGAGCTTGTTATCTCAAGCTGGCGCATAAAGATGCTTTTAAGAATGGTAATTATTGTCATGGTCTTGTCTGTTATTCCTATTGTTTTTTCATGCTGATTCTCTGGGCTACCTAAAGAGGGGTATGATTGAGATAAATCTTCTCCGTATGAATGCGGGTTTATCTCCGTCAAAAACCCGGGTGACTTTTCTTCCCGATTTTTTCATCTGGTAATTTTGTTTTTGGTTTGGGATGTAGAGATTGTTTTACTGGTGCCCTGTTTTCAGGACCTGTTCGGGTGGTCTCCTGAAGGATCTGGTGCGGTTTTATTCGTACTTATTTTGGTTTACGGGCTGTATTATGAAATAATGGAGGGCACTATTAAGTGAACCTTACACGAAAACTAGGTTTAGGGGTCGTAGCTTAAGTTAGAGCTTCGAGCTTTTAACTCGAGTGTGGGTATATCTCCGACTTCAGTGGAAATTAAGAATAAACAGGCTAGGTTAGTATGATTATGAGTACGTCGAATTTAGGCTTCGAAAGAAGGTGTATCGCACCTGCTTGGTTGGGTAAGTAGCCTAAGCTAAGGTATGACATTGAAGCTGTTAGGATGGCTTAAATTAAGCCCTAACCCATGACACCGCAGTTCGGTACTTTAATACAAAAGACGAAATTTGCATTTTCGCAATGAGTTTACTCTCTCGAACTTTGTGAAAGTTTCATACTACTTATATTTAACGCTAACAACTGTGTTTGTATATTTAGGGGTTTTGCTGAGGGTAGCTTACTTTACTTTAATAGAGCGAAAAAGTTTAAGATCCTTTGGGATTCGGCTTGGTCCAGATAAAACAAGGTTTTTAGGATTCGCTCAACCTATTACAGACGGGGTTAAACTTTTTATAAAAGAGTTTGTGGTTCCAGCTAACTCAGCTAGAGTTATTTTTTTGGTAATTCCCTCTATTTCTTTAATGTTGTGTCTCTTGGGATGGCAGATTTTTCCATCTTTTGCTTTATCTAGGTGGTCTTCTAATGACATCTTGTTTTTTTTAGTTGTAAGAAGGTTAAATGCCCACATTGCTATTATAAGTGGGTGATCTTCTAATTCAAAATATGCTGGAATTGGGGGAGTACGGGGGTTTGCTCAGGTTATTTCTTACGAGATCTGTTTGAGAATTTCCTTAATTGTGGTCGTAATTTTAAGGGGAAGAATAAGGTTTTTTTCTATTGCTGAGTCTGGGTGGTCTATTTGGTGGAGGTTTTTTTGTCTTCCGGTGGTGCTGTTATGGTTGACTGTTTGTTTAGCCGAGGCAAATCGGGCACCATTTGATTTAGTAGAAGCAGAGTCTGAGTTGGTTTCTGGGTTTAATACTGAGTACTCTGCTGGGGGTTTTGCTCTTTTGTTTATTGCGGAATACGGAATAATTTTACTACTGTGCTCTGTTACTGTTTTTAGCTTTTTTCAAAATCCTAATATGCTAAATGTGGCCGGCTTATGTTGGGCATTTTTTAAGGTGATAATACTTGTATTTTTCTTTATCTGGTCTCGTGCAGGTCTTCCTCGGTTACGGTATGACTTTTTAATAATAGCATGTTGAGCTAGTCTTTTACCCTTTATTTTAGGGGTTTACTGTTTAGTTTTTTTTGTTTCTAAAGTTTAAAGTGAGTTCGTCGTTTATTTTGTATAGGGTTACAGTGTGTGTCTTGGTGGCAGCTATGTTGAAGCATTTTTCAAACTTTCTCAGGTATTTAATTTTGGTTGAGGGGGCATGTGTTGGGCTTGGGGCAATAATGATGTATGCTGAGGGCTATGTCCCGGCATACGGCTTGTTTATATTTTTAGTGCTAGTAGCATGTGAAACTTCTCTAGCGTTGGGCTTAATGGTGGGAATTATGCGAAACCCCGAGTCTGGGGTTTATTCTTTATATTCTTACGGGGAGTAATAAGCATAGAGAGCGATTAGTATAAGTGAGTACCTTGGCTTGTCATGCCAAAAGTGCGTCAATCTGTGGCGTATCGCTCTGAGGATAAAACTTAAATAAAAACTTCTAAGCGAGTTTGAGTTTTAAAAGGTTTTTTTTTAAAAAAAATAAACTTTTTAATTTTTTTTTTTTGTGATTTGTATAGTAAAGAGAGGAAAAGAATAACACAATATAGGGGAAAGATAATAGTATTGTAGGATAGGATAACATAAGTAAATCATAATAGTAGTAGTGTAGTAAAGAGTGAGATAGCTATAAGTAAGTAAGAATGAGTTTCGAGGGGGTCTAGTTTAAATAATACCTCCATATCCTGTAAGGATAATAAGCTTAATTAAGGTATCTAATACTCCCATGCCTTAATAAATTTGAGCGGGGAAAATGGGGTTCTAAATTAAAGGTTAAGCATAAATGTATTGAAAGAAATCTACGAAAAACTATGGCAAAAGGAACTCGGCAAATATTTGGCCTCGCCTGTTTAACAAAAACATCACTAGGAGAAGCTTACTCTTAGCAGTGCCTGCCCAGTGCAAAATTGTAAACGGCCGCCCTAGCGTGAGGGTGCCAAGGTAGCGAAATTCCTTGCCTTTTAATTGTAGGCCTGCATGAATGGATTGACGAGGGTCAAGCTGTCTCTTGCCTTGAATAACGAAATGGACTAAACAGGGAACTACTCTTAGCAGTGCCTGCCCAGTGCAAATTGTAAACGGCCGCCCTAGCGTGAGGGTGCCAAGGTAGCGAAATTCCTTGCCTTTTAATTGTAGGCCTGCATGAATGGATTGACGAGGGTCAAGCTGTCTCTTGCCTTGAATAACGAAATTGGACTAAAGGTGAAGATACCTTTATAGAAAAGTTAGACAAGAAGACCCCGTGCAGCTTTAAAAAATTTACTTATTAAGAGTTGTAAGATTTTTAGGTGGGGCGCCTAGGAAGTAAAATTTAACCTTCTTATTTGTTAAGAAAGACTCTCTAGTGTAGACCCGGCAAGTCCGATCATGGGAGAAGTTACGCCGGGGATAACAGGCTTATCCATTAGTAGAGCTCGTATTGGCTAATGGGATTGGCACCTCGATGTTGAATTAAGGATGATAGCTCTAAGGCGTAGAGGCTTTAGAAGTGGGTCTGTTCGACCTTTAAAACCTTACGTGATTTGAGTTCAGACCGGCGTAAGCCAGGTCGGTTTCTATCTTCTTTTTGAATTTTCTTTTGGCTTGTACGAAAGGACTGCTGAAAGAAGAACATTCTTAGATATTAGAACTAAAGTTTTAAATTAATATTAAAGTATTTCCTTGGCGTAATGTCTTAGCTTAAATCTAAGTCTAGCCGAGCTGTGGTTTTATTAAATTCGTGAATATTGATGGTGTTTAGGGCCTTTTTTAGGCTACTTGCTGCGGTTATGGCCAATTGCGACTTAAGTTTTTGATTTTGTTGAGAATTAGGTTACGTTTCCATAATTTCAGTAAGTTTGGATATTTGTCTAGATTGAATTGCTGCTTTGTTTATAAGAGTAATCACAATAATTTCTGGGTGTGTAGGATTTTTTATAAGGGTCTATATAGGCTCAGAAGATACAGAGAAACAGTTTAATTTGACTCTGTACTCTTTCGTCTCATCAATGCTTGTTTTAGTGGTGGCTAGATCAATGCCGGTAGTATTGCTAGGGTGGGACTGATTAGGGGTGACTTCCTTTTTGTTAGTGATGTATTATGAAGGGAAAAAGTCTTTTGATGCAGCAATAATCACTGCCTTAACTAACCGTGTTGGAGATGCTTTACTAATTTGCAGAGCAGCCGGTATGTGTATAGCATCTGACTTAAGTTTAGATATAAAGCCCTATTGCTGAAGGTTTATTTTTATTGTGGGTTGTATTACAAAAAGGGCTCAAGTGCCTTTTAGAAGGTGGCTTCCTGCTGCAATAATGGCCCCGACTCCGGTTTCTTCTTTGGTTCATTCTTCTACCCTAGTAACGGCTGGAATTTACCTGTTAATTCGATCTTCGACTTTTTGGTTAAGTTCTAATGCAGCTTGTAGGTTATTAATGGGGGTTGGCATCATCACAACTACCATTGCAGGGGTAAGGGCAGTTATGGAAAGAGATGTAAAAAAAGTTGTTGCATTGTCAACGCTAAGGCAGCTCGGAATCATAGCTTTTAGCTTAGGTTTGGGGGAAGTTGAGCTGGCTTTTATGCACCTAGTGTGCCATGCATTTTTTAAAGCTGGGATGTTTTTAAGAGTTGGTTCAATAATCAGCCACAATGCGGGTAACCAGTTTTTTAGAAGATTTGGTATAAGTGTTGCAAGTCTATCTCCTTCAGCTGTTTTTGGGTTATTTATGGGAAGGGTCTCTTTAATGGGAATTCCCGGAACCGCTGGGTATGCTTCTAAAGAGTCAATTGTTGCGTCTGGCTACTCAACAAATTCTTGGTTCATAGTGGGTTTATTGTATTTAGGTATTGGGTTAACTGCTACTTATTCAGTCCGTGTTCTTGTTGGGGTTACCAGACTAGCTAAACATGGAATTCGAGACTTCTTAGGATCCCGAGAGACTTTGATACTCTCTGCTCCCGGGGTATTTTTGGTATTCATAGGGCTGATTGGAGGAGAATTCGTGCTTTTGAGGTCTTCTGGTGGGTTTTTCTTTGAGGCGCTCTCTTCTAGCGAAGCCTGATTTTATCCTTATTTACTGGTAATAACTGGGGTGTTTGTCGGGACAGTATTGCAGTTGATTTTGACAAAATTTTATGAACTTCGGTTTAAATGAATTTATGGTATAATTTACCTAGATTTAAGCTCACGTTCTCTTGTAAGTGATAAAGGCAGAGTTAGGTTCTCTGGGGTGTCTGGGGACGGAGAAAACGTGGCTGAGGTCTCTATTCCAGTTAGAGCTTTAGAGATAGGCTTAGGATATCTTTCCAATTTCCATAATGTAATTCAGCGAGCATCCGTAACCTCCGGGGTTGGGGCTAGCTTAGGTCTTGGTAGTGCGTATGTAGTGTTCTAAGCTTGTGTGAAAATTATTGTTTTTGTTGCTTTGGGTATACTTGTACTAGGAACTTTATATGCCTCTACTCTATTTTTTTTTGGGGTATTTTTAAGGTTGGCAATTCTTGTAGAAGTCGGAGAAAATTGTAGAGATTTTTTATCTCTATTGTCTTTTATGGTATATGTGAGCGGGATTACTGCTGTAATCGGCTATTTTGTAACTTTCTTTCCTAAAAAATTTGAGGGTCGAGATCAAAGATACTGTCTTATGAGGGTTTCTTATCTTATTGGATTAAGTGCTTATATTGCTTGAACCATGTCTTCGTACAGATATTCTGGTCCTGATCTATTTAATCCGTGATATTCTAGTGGGATACTAAGAGCTCATGGGCAAGTAATTAGGTTTTTAGCACCAGTTTTATTGGTTGTCATGGTAGCAGTAGTTGTAATATCCAAGCCAGAGCGGAATACTCTTCGTCGTTGAAAGCATAGAAAGCCGTACAGAGCCAAAAGGGGGTAAAGATGCTTTGGGTGGATAAACTAGCTTAAATAGTTTATAAAAACATCAACTTGTGGCGTTGAGGATACTGCGTTAGTGGTTTTAAGTTAGTGGGGTTATTATATTTGATTTTAGGTTCTTCTTTAATGGTGTTGTTTTTAAATAAAAAAGACCAGCTAATGGCTGTTGTGAATTTGATAGCTTTCTGGTCAATATATAGAATTTCAATATGGTCCGGTTCTGGAATTTCTTGAGAGTCTTATGGGGAGTATCTAATTAATGATATCTTTAGAGCCAGAATGGTAACACTCACATTTTGGGTGTGTGGTGTAAGGATTTTAGCCAGCGGATCTATAGGAACATTGCGAGGGGATTACATAAAATTTGTCTGGCTAATACTCCTACTTTGTGTTTTATTAGTGGGCTGCTTCTTAGTGAATATGATGTCTATTTTTTACGTGTTATTTGAAAGAACACTAATCCCGATAGTGGCAATCATTGCTATTTGGGGGCAACAACCTGAGCGTATTCCGGCAATTCGTTATATAGGCGCTTATACAGTCGGGGGTTCTCTTCCTTTGCTTTTTGTGGTTGTTTTTATGGAGTGTAAGTTGGGGAGGAGATTTCTCTGATTTACAACCCCGAAATTACACATCGATTGGTGATTTTGAGTTATGTGTTTTTCTGGGTTCTTGGTGAAATTTCCTGCTTATCCTTTTCACACTTGACTTCCTAAAGCCCACGTGCAGGCCCCTGTAGGAGGTTCAGTAGTGTTGGCTGGGATTCTTCTTAAGTTAGGAGGTTACGGGATTCTCCGAATAATGTCTGTATTTTCCTACAGATTAGAGAAATTCGGGTTACTAGTAATTTCATTTTCTCTGACGGGTAGAATTTATGCAGCTTTAATGTGTTCGCGACAGAGAGATGTAAAGAAAATAATTGCTTACTCTTCAGTTTCTCATATAGCATTTTGCATTATCGGGTTATTTAGTTGTCTAGAGGTCGGTTTAATCTCCGCTTTTATTATGCTCATAGGCCATGGATTTATCTCCTCAGGACTTTTTGCTTTGTGTGGTATAAGAAGAGAGCTAACGCATACTCGAAACTTAAAAATAATAAGAGGTGCTTGTCGTACCACCCCTATCTTGACTTTTATGTGGCTTGTTTTTATCATAATAAACTTAGGAGTACCCCCTTGCCCTACTATTATTAGTGAAGTTTTAGCCGTAGTGAGAGTAATCTCTGTGGGCCCATGAAGGTTTTTGTTTTTAGTTGTTTACTTTTTTGCAAGAGGGGTATACAGGTTTGCTTTATACTGCCAGTTGGCTCACGGTCCAGTTCCGGAAGATGATATTGTTATGTTTGAAGAAGTCACTCCACGGGATATGCTTTCCGTCTTATTTTTGTTTTACCCTTTAGTGGAGTTGTTATTTAAGTGAGATTTGTGAAGAAGTTTTTAAGGGTTTTGCAAGTCTAACTGTGTTTTATGGAATTTTATGTCTTATCTAACGTTGTGTAGTATATCTAGTATAAAAGATTGTAACTCTTTAGGAACTGCTTCAGTCGCAATGAGATGAGAATTCAGTTTTTGGGGCTAGTTACATTTTTTGTCTTGTTTTCTTTCTGTTATATAAGGTACTTTATCTGCTCCCCTGCTGGGATGTTTAGGTCAATAAGAATATGGGGTGTTTACAAAAAAATTTATGTTAGAAGCATACACAGAAAAAAAGAGCGTTTTAGGGCTCTCGGGAGAGGAGTTAGAGAAGGGTTAAGGTGAATTTTTGATTTCACAATTACTCTGGTGTTAATCGGTATTTTACCCTGAGGTTTTCCTGGATTGTCTTCATGAGAGGTAGTGGCAGGTTTAATGCCCAGGCTTTTTTATTCCGTAAACATCTTACAAACAGACGTTGATATCTTTAGAAAATCTCTTAAGTTTAAGCAGTCTGTTATAAAATCGTTTGCTTATTTTCCCCTGTTGGTTTTGAGGGTTGTTATTCGTCCAGTAACCCTTACAGTTCGAATGTTAGCAAATGCATTAGTGGGAGCTGTTGTCTGCCACTCTCTGGCTAAGATGGTAGCTTATGGTGTGGCTTATTCAAAATTTTTGTCTCCTAAGACAATGCTGTGGTTTGGTGTTATTTTAATTTGGGAACTAGTGGTTATATTAGTTCAAAGGTCTTTATTTTTAGGTCTATCGAAAATTTATTTTCGCCCAACTCCTGTTAAATTTAAGGTGGTAGTTAAATAGTTTCTAGAAGGGGTAGCTTAAATGTAAAAGCATTTGACTGTTAATCAAAAGTTCCTATATCAGGCTCTTTCTAAGGTTTATAAGCTTAGAAAGGCAGGGTAGTTTAATATAGAACAGTAAATTGCAAATTTGAAAGTACATGCATTGTTGTTTCTGTCTTAGTTTTCGGGCTGTAAGTTAAGTAAACTACCAGACTTCAAATCTGAACATATCCTTTAAGGTGGGTCAGCCTGATATAAACACGTTAATTTTTAGGGCTTAGTTTTAGCTTATTTACAGGGGTAAAATTAGTCAAAGGGGAAAAAATTAAGTTAAGGCGTTAAGCTTGCTAAAGTGTTTTAAATGTATTATTCATTAGCTGGCATAATTTTTATGTTATTGGGACTCTACTTTGCACTAGTCGTAACTTTAGCGACAAGAGTATTTTGAGTTTGGGTCGCGATGGACTTAAGCACTATTTTTTTAGTCCCATTCTTTTGTTGTGGGATATCTTTAACTGGGTTGTACAAATGATATAAAGGTTCTGCTACATATTTTGTGGTTCAGTTTATGGGCAGCGCAAGAATTCTTTATTCTGGTCTTATGCTGTGAGAGTTTTCCTTTGAAGCTATGGGGCTAACATTTCTAATAACGGGATTTATTTTGAAGTTAGGTCTTTTCCCACTCCACTTTTGGGTCCCTCGGGCATTTATAAATTTTCACTATCCCGGAATTTACTTAAGTGGAGTAGCACAAAAAGTTCTACTTATTCCAGCTATTCCCTTCCTTGGAACTGTTAGTTACTTAAATGACTTATTAAGCTTAAGAGCAATTGCTAGAGTTTTGTACGGGCCAGTAGCAATGTTTAATTGCACCAATATCAAAACCTTCTTAGCCTACTCCTCTGTCAACAATACTGGTTTATTAGTAATTTGTATGGGTATGAGTAAAGACTTGTTTGTGTTTTATGCTATTTGTTATTCAGTGAGAATATTATTTTTAGTATTGATTTTAAGGGTTTGTATATCAGATACTATTTTACAAATGGGGCGCACCTTACCGGACATCTATCTCCCAGGTTTTATGGCTATAAGGTTAAGTTTTGCTGGGTTTCCTCCTCTTACTGACTTTTGTGCTAAGTTTGTGGTGGTGTCTAGTTTTGTTGAGAGCAACATGTGATTTTATGTCGCAGTAATTTTAATTAGAAGGGTAGTAAACTTGTTAGCTTGGGTTTGAGTTCATGTTGTAGTTATTGGAATAATGCGTCATGTGGATGATAGAGAGCCATCCGTTGAAGACCTCCTTGTCAACTTAGGAAGTTTTTTATGAAATGTTGGTGGAGGAGGTGTTTTTATAATGTTTTACTAGCATTGAGTAGTTTCTAAGTAAAATGTGCCATTAGTAATTTATTAGAAAAAT